TGTATTCTTACATTTATGTGTAGTCTAAGATTTTATTCTTTATTTATATCCCTCATGAAATTAAAACTGTTAAAACACCAAGTTTGAATTCCTTCTAGACAATTTCTATGTTATTACTCTGTACATAGGTCTTGTTTTTAATTTCCTTTTCTTAATGTTCCTTATACTTCAAAGTAGTACAAGTGAGAGAATAATATTACTGTCTTTTGCACAAATGTCCTTGTGTCCAAAATTGTTTGGTTCAATTCTACTTTTTGTCCTTCCTATGATTATTTTCTATTCTGCTAATTATTTTTGCTGGGCAGGCCATAAATTCTGCCATTTATTCCCATGTAATTATTCACAAGATTCTCTCTGTACTTTGGTTTTTAACCAATTTTCTTCCTCTTGATATTTTTGGTGATTTTCATCCTTTTTTTCCTTACATAATCACTCATTATTCAACTTCTTTCCTTGGTGATATGTTTCTTGGTAGCAGTGAAAATTAAAAGCTATTCCAAGGCTGTCACTGATTTACAAATTGTAGATATAATTTTTGTGGTGTGTTCAATGAATATTTTTCTTTGAAAAGTAGTCTCAATTTTGAAAATTTTTTTTTAAAATTTGGCACATTATATTTTTGCTTTTTTCATCATGCTTCATCTTCAGTTGAAAATCCTGTGCTATTAGCGTAGGTACTATTTAAAATATAATGTATTTCTTCTCTGCTCCTTATAAAATCATCTTCTTGATGTTATCATTTTGGGAGTGATTTCAATCAAAATTTAATCCCGGTTGGATTCCTGTGGATATTGTTCATCTCCAATCTATCTCTTGATTATAATATTTCTGAGAAATTTTCTTGAGTAATTTCTCATAAGTTGGTATCTGCCATGACATTTTTTCTTTTTCTCTTAGCTACCATGCCCTGATGCCAACAACCACTCTCACACACAAATATTTTCTGGGCTTTCTAGGACAACTTGCCATCAAGACCTGTCCTGATCATTTGCCCAAATCCCATAGATTGGCATAATGGAAGAGCAAGGACAATTCATTGGTGTGTCATAGATAAGATTTGGAAATTACATTTGAAATATGCATCCTTTTTATGCTACTAAGTAGCATGGGATTTGAACCTTTATCTTAAGGCATATGACTTAAGAAATCACAAAATTATACTAGTGATGTAACCAACAAGATGGAGGACTAGACAATTTCTCCATTCCCCATTAACTCTCAAAAAAGCACAAAAGAACAATTACAGCTGTTGCCATGGCAGTAGAAAACAAGAAGCATAGCAAGAAGGTTTACGTTTTAGCAGTGGAGAATACTAATGCCTATCACTTACTCAATACCAGTCCTCTTATCAGCCTCCAGCTCCAAGAGTACACAAACCAATCCACCTACCCATGCTTTGAGAATCATTCAGTAATTTCTCTTAGCATATGCCCCATTCCCCTTCTGCTACCCCTGCATTCCATTGCAACAAGCAGTGGACTACTAATCTGACCAGCCATATAGAGAGCAAGGGGTAGATATAAGCCTGGGAGTACAGAGGACTTTGCCATGTCTGGTATGGCTCCTAAGTTAAGGACACCTAAGGGGGCAGAAACTCTGATCTGAATACCCACCCACTCCACCTTTCCCCAAGCCTAAAAACAGTGGCAGATATTGACTCAACTCAGCCAGAGAACTGAAGAATATAGGAACTGGGATAGGTTGCCACTGTGTGATGCTTTTCTGGGCCTAGAAGAAAGGGAGCGGAATCTATGCGGTACCCTTCCTATCAAATGTTACTTTGATTAGGGATATAGGAGGGTAAAAAGTGAATGCCCCCAAATGGGAGGATGCTGGATCAGTATTGAGGTCTAGCTCATGGCAATGGAAAGAGGGAGGGGATATCAGAATGCAGAGTTACATTTGCTGCAAGCCCATGGGTTGGGTGACTAGTGTAGCCTTGTTGCTGGGAATGTGGTGGGGGAGGGGGTGCTGAGTAAGTTTGGGTTAGGTATTAGTTTATAAAATGTTTACCTTCTTTTGGGTTCTTGGCCTCCTAGATCAGGGAGATAGCTGGCATTGCTTTACCTTTGACACATAATTTCTGTTTTAGAGAGTTTTAAGAGATTGCAAGAATCAGGGAAAATATCTTCATCTTGTTTTCACATTGTCTCTCCCATTTCATCATGGGCTCCTTGATGACAGGAGCTAGATTTTTTTTATCTTTCTTTGTATCCTCAATGCTTAGCACAGTTCAAGGCACATAATAGGTGCTTAAATAGTGACAGGGCAAGTCACTCAGTCTCTCAGTGATCTAGGCAAGTCTCTAACTCTACAAGTTGCAGGGAAATTACCAACCTTTATTTGTAGGGGGAATTTCTTCACCTGGAAATTTCTTATACTGGTGAAATTATAGATCCAGTCCTTATGCCGATTCACTTTGAAGTTACACCTAGAGATCGGGCTCAGTTACAATGAATATCCTAGGATCAGGACATGAATTATTGGGGTGAGGGGAGATTATTGTCAGCAGTATCTGCTGTTCCTTATGGCATTTCTGTGTCAGAGGCTCAGGGAACCTCGACCGCAATATGACTTCAGATATAGTATCTCATCTGATTCCTATAATAACTCTATGAAGTAAGCACTACAAAAACATCATTTCCCCACTCCAAACAGGATTTTCTTGGCAGAGCTTCCAACATGATTAGCACTGCATCATCTCTAAGAAGGTGGATCTGAGGAGCAAAAGTGACTAGCAGTGTGTGACCTAGTTTTATCAAAAAAAAAATAGGTATGAATTCTGGAGCTTTGCCCTTGACCTCATTTCCTATTTCTTTATTCCTTGCTTGCTACTAATGATGCAGGAGCCTGGAAACTCCACTCTGATATTTCCATTCTGTCTTCCTAAGTGTGATGAGAGCAGCCTTTGTGCAAAACTCAGGGCCTTTTCTATTCCAAACAACCATGAGAAAGTGAGAGAGACCTGGTTTTGCTGCATTGTTTTCTCTTGTCTGTTTGGCCATCTGTCTCTCCTAGGCAAGTTCCATGTGGAGGTATTTTAGATATGCCTATTTGCCTGTGGGAAATATAATCCTCTTTTTGCCTTATTTTAATGAATTATTGTTAAAAAATAAATTATTATTAAGGATTTCATGTTTATTATATAGAAATCAATATTAAAAGATTCGTACTTTGCTAAGGTAGTGATTCTCATGAGTTTTGACATTTCGATTTATGCAAAATTGGTGTGTTTTTCCTAAGTTAAAACCTCACCTGTATTCTTATGATCCCTATTAAATACTTAAATTGTGTTGTTATTTTGTGTGATTCAGCTTTGTGGGCACACTCATATTCTAGGAGTCCTGGTATGTTAATTGATTTGAGATTTCAGCAAATTTAGCAGCTAGTAGAAGTTGGAGAGTTTCTCCATTCTCTCAAGTTTCACCCCAAGTTTCTACCACTTTCAGCCCATTCAGTGGTCCTGGTCTTCTGTAATTACATGGCTTGGATGCTTCATTATACAGGCATTTGTTAGAACTTTCTTTCACCATTTGGAGTTAGGCACATAAAGGTGTGAACCAGCATGTCTTCTTGAGCCAACTCAATTCTGTTGGTCTGTGGAGGCCACAACCAACCATTTCATTTATCTATCTATCTATCTATCTATCTATCTATCTATCTATCTATCTATCTATCTATCTATCTAGATATTTATTCATTTATTTATTTATTGAATTTAAGCTAGGCAATGGGGTTAAGTGACTTGCCCAGGGTCACACAGCTAGTAAATGTTATATGTCTGAGGCCGGATTTGAACTCTGGTTCTCCTGAATCCAGGGCTGGTGCTCTATCCACTGTGCCACCTAGCTGCCCCCCACTACCAACCATTTCATATGGCCCTTAAGCAACCCAAGTACCTCCGTTATCATTTCTACCTTGTCTATTTTGTTAGAATTAGCTCCTGGTTATATCTAGGACCTAATTAAGTGAAAGATCTTAGAATTAAGAACGTAGTTTGAATTCTGCTTCAGATTCTTACAAGCTATGTAATACCTGGCAAGCCATTTAATTTTTATAGGCTTCAGTTTTCTTATCTGTAAAATGAGAGATTGGACTATACAATTCATATTTGTTATTCTTACAGTGGCCTTAGGTTCATATCTATTTCCAGAAATTAGGTTTCCTGTATATGAAGTGCATGCTACTTTATTTGCTTCTCTAGAGTTTGTATCTCTTCTTGAATTTCCTGATGAGGTTTTAATCCTTTGATGAGGTAAAGCCCTTGTTAAAAAGGTTAATAATACAAGGCTTCTGTTTTGCTTTGATGGAGTCTCCCTGATGTGGGGTGACTTCTCCTGGCCCTGGATACTCTTTGATCCATTGACATCACTTTGTGGAGATTGATTGATTCACATCCAGTTTGAGAGTACTTGGGCTAAACTCTTGGTCTTGTTCTTTAAAACAAGGATGTGAAAACTAGTCTTGGAGAGCTATAGATAACTGTGGAGACAACCAAAGAGGAGATAGTTAGAGAGAAGACAATCAGGCACACAGAGACTAGTTCCCTCCCTATTTGACAAAAACTGCTGGGAAAACTGGAAAACAGTGTGGAAGAAACTAGGCATAGACTCAAATCTCACACCATATACCAAAATAAAATGAAAATGAATTCATGATTTACATAAAAAGGCTGATACTACATGCACACTGGGAGAGCAAGGAATAGTTTACCTGTCAGATTTATGGAGAACAGAAGAATTTATGACAAAACAAGAGATAGAGAACATTATGAAATGCAAAATGGATAATTTTGATTACATCAAATTGAAAAGTTTTTTTGCACAAACAAAGCCAATGCAACCAAGATTAGGAGGGAAGCAGAAAACTAAGAAGGAATTTTTTTTTTTTTACTTTGACAAGCCTTTATTTCCTCCTCCTGCCAGCTTAGGGAGGAGATTACATCATTACCTTGCACAGCGCTAACAGTTAAGCAATAATGAATCAAATGGGTTGTGTTATTGCTCTTTTTTCAAAACAGAGAAAACAGCTGCAGCTCAGACTGGTCGCAGATGTGTGAGGATACACCTACGCATCTTTGCATTCACTCTTCAAGAGGGAGGTTTTGCCCGTCCAGGGAACAGAATACACCTCAAACTCGCAGATGGAGTGCTTTTTCAGAGCTGGGTCCTCGTGATAGGGGCAGCTTGAAAGGTCAGCCACAGATTTGTTGCAGGTGGTTCGACGAATCTCAGCGTCAATATAGTATTTTATACCAGTCACAACCTGCTTCCTGACTCGCACCACCCGGAACACTCGGCTGCCGAACTTGTCGTTGCTGGCCCGGTTAAATTCTCTTAGGGCGAAGCCGAGCTCTTGCTGCACGCCGTCCTCGTTCTGGTTGGCCTCCATGAGGCTGCCCAGCAGGCGGCGCAGGCGCTCTTGGGCTTGGACCGCTAGGACCAGGGCGAGCAGCAGCAGAGGCAGCAGCAGGAAGGACCATGGGCCGGCCATGGTGACAGGGCTAAGAAGGAATTTTTACAACCAGTGTCTCTGATAAGGGCCTCATTTCTAAAATATATAGAGAATGAAGTCAAATTTATAAGAATACAAGTCATTCCCAAGTTGATAAATGGTTGAAGGATATGAACAGGCAGTTCTTATATGAAGAAATTAAAGACATCTATAGTCATATGAAAAAATGCTCTAAAGCACTATTGATTAGAGAAATGCAAATCAAAACAACTCTGAGGTACCACATCACACCTATTAGATTAGCCTATCAGGAAAATGATAAATGTTGGACAGGATGTGGGAAAATTGGAACACTAATGCATTGTTGGTGGAGTTGTGAAATGATGCAACCATTTTGGAGATCAGTTTGGAACTATGCCCAAAGGGCTATAAAAATGTGCATACCCTTTGACCCAGAAATAGCACTTCTAGGGTTGTATCCAAAGAGATCATAAAAATGGACAAAAGACCCACATGTACAAAAATATTAATAGCAGCTCTTTCTGTAGTGGCAAAGAATTGGAAATTGAGGGGATGTCCATCAATTGGGGAATGACTGAACAAATTGTGGTATATGAATGTAATGGAATACTATTGTGCTATAAGAAATGATGAGCAGGCAGACTTCAGAAAAACCTGGGGAGACTTGAATGGACTGATGCTGAGTTAAGTGAGAAGAACCAGGAGAATGTTGTACACAGTGACAGACATCTTGTGCCATGACTAACTTTGATAGACTTAGCTCTTCTCAGCAACGCAAGGATCTAAGACATCTCCAAAAGTCTCATGATGGAAAGAAGTAAAAAAAGAAGTCAAGACATTTTATAAATATACTGCAAGATAGAAAATGAAGATTCACTAATAAAGGTCATAATAGAAGGGAACTCAGAAACCATTTCGATCAACTCCATCATTTTATAGGGCAGACAAATGACTTGCCCAAGATCCCAGACCTAATAAGTACCAGAGGTAGAATTTGAACTCAGGAACTCAGCTAAACAAAAGTATTTTTTCCATTATAGTATTGACTAGGAAAAATAGACTAAAATATAGAGGAAAATATTCTAATAAATTTTTATTAAGTTTTCACATAAAGAATTAAAAGCAACGTTCATTTAATGGTAATTAAATTAAAACTTAATTAAATAAACCTCCTCATAGAATAGAGATGGCATAATAATATTAGATAGGCTTGAATCTTCGGGCCTGAGAAAATTTGGCCTAAGGTATTCTAAGATGTGGACTCTGAAAACTAATTGGTGAATAATATGAGGGCCTACAAAAACTTGGCTAGAGCCTATGTGACTGGATGATGGTAAATGTACCACATTCTGTATTTTTAGAAATGGATACAAATGATAATTTTGAAATAGGGAGGTTGCCTTTTCTTACTCAATTTAGAAGTTTCCATTAAAGAAATATTTAGAGAATTGGAAGGCCATTTAAAGTTTAGTGTTCCATAGGGAACATGATTATACAATTTTTTTTTCTTCCTCAGGAAAATTGTGTCAATTTAAAATCACTCTCTGGGAAACCAAATTTAGGATGTTCCCTTTAATGAGCTGCAGGGAATATAAACTCAAATGGGCAGTATTCTTGGTTTCAGACAATTTAGTTTCCTAGTCCATTTGAGCGGAACATTAACAGGAATAAAAACTTAATTGGAAGGATCATCTAAAGTATGAAACTTGTCCATCTCTAATGTTAGCAAATGATAAGAGGCAATGAAAGCAATTATAAAGAAATGACATTACTCTGAAATTGAGATGCTTTTTTGAAATGTAAGAATCATTTTTTGTTAACAAAGAAGGCAGCAAATGAATACTAGAATCAAATGCATCATTAAAAATGATCTGACCCGCATCCTAATGTGATTTTGGAGTTTTGTTTCAGCTAGTCATATTAAATTTCATTTTTAGTATATCCCTTCTAATCTAAGCTTTTGGAGGAATCCACAAGAATGGATGGAATTCTACTAGTGGCCTGATTGTTTCAAACATTCATTAGCTATTATTCAGTTCCCCTTGGAATAACATAGAAAACTACTAACAGGCAATTTACTCTCCTGTAATTCCTCCTTAGAATTGAAAAAAAATCTTAACCTCTACATCACTCTATTAACTGTGGACATGGAATGTCCATGTAGAATTATTCTCCATGACTGTGGTTCGAAGGCCTACAGAAGGACCTGCCAGGGACTAGTCCTAATCTATACCAAAGAGGAAATTACATGAAGTGTCAAAGTGTGTTTGCAAAGTAATGCCATATGCGAACTTCCAGAAAGATGGCTGAATGAGTGGTTATATTTAAACCCAGCTCCTTTTCATCGCATGTAAAATAATAGAACAACAATGAAAAGACAGGGAAGTACAGAAATGCTCACAAGCAAAAGTACCACAGGGGGAAAAACATACCAGAGACACTGAAGAAATGATTAAACAAAAAATAGGTCCAATACAATGAAGAAATACTGTAGGGCACAAAATATGAAGAGACATCAGAAAAGAGACTGCAACACCATCCAAAAACTCCAGAGCGTTCAAAGGCTTTAAAGAACTAAAGTGAGAGATAGGTTGTGAAATTAGAGTGCTTAGAGAAAATTTTGAAAAGATAATTGGTCATTTAAAACCTAAGATGGAATGTTTTAACGGTGTCATAGAACTGTGGAAGAAAAAAAAATTTAAAAGATGAAATTGAAAAACGACAAAAAGCAAGAAGCAATAGTTGAGGAAAGTCAAAAGAGAGAAAAATTTTAAAAAGTGACATTTCAGCAAAATAACCAGTTAATGTTGAAGGCAGAGGTCAACAGAACTATCTAATAATCATTTGAAAATAATAAAAACAAACCCCAAATTGATCATACACCCAAAAATCTAAGTGCCATATTTCAAGACACCATAAAAACAATTTCCCCCAAACTATTTTAACTAAAGGAAAATTAAAGATTGATATAAGTTATAAGTAAGGAACTGGAAGAAAGGAACCCTATGTTTAGTTTACTCACAAGTGATATTACCGTTCTCCATGGCTTCTGGTTCAGAGAAAAAATATTTTAAGCAGTCAGGACATATTTATCAAGGCATGAAAATCTTTGTTTCCCAGTACTACTTATCAGCAATTAAAATAAAGTAGGAGATATCATATACAGAAATACAAAGGAAAATAGTTTGTACTAAAAAAAAGTACTTATTTTGATAAAACTGATCATAACCATAAGGGACATTTTTATTTTTTTTGCCAGAATTGATGATTTCTAAGAAAACTTTTGCAAATATCAAAACTGATCTAAGATTTCAAAGTGCAGATGCAGCAGACATAAGAAATCTAAGAAAAAGAAAACTCCAAAGAACTTGAAAAAGCTCATTATTTACATACTACAAAAAGTATACAAGACTCTTTTGACATTGGAGTTCTAATTCAGAAACATAGGTCATTTATTGTGATTAGGTGATTAAGAAAGGACTACAGATAGAGAAAACAGGCAGAGAAATGGACTCAATATTTTTGAAATTCAGGTTAGTTGAAATGTAAGGTTATTCAAAGAAGTGTGTGTGTTGTGTGTGTGTGTGTGTGTGTGTGTGTGTGTGAACATGTTCTTATGAAACATACTTTAATGTGAGACAAGGGAAATATAAAAACCAAGTAATAATAAAAATCAAATTAATCAAAGAAGAGGCATAAATTTGACTTCATATGTGGGCAGAGTTGGGGAAGGAATTTTTTCAAGTTTGGCAAGCCATTGCATCACAGGAGAGATCTGAATATTTTTAAAATGATAAAATTCAATAACTTTTATCTAGATTGGGGTAGGTAAATATGAAGGCAAGTCGGCATCTTGTTTATATTCTTTTAAGCAAAAAATGCTTCAGTTACCTGCTACTATTTTTAAATTAAAAAGAGAGATCATACAATATGTTTTGGTGGATCAAAAAATAAATGCAGGAATTTTGACTTTGAATCTTAGTGGAATAAACTCCCACATGAAATGGAAGATCAGCAAAGAGTCAGCATGTATTAATCAAGAGTAGATGTATTTCACTTTTTGACAGGAACAAGAAACTTGTAGATCAGCAGAATTCTGTATGTATTTTATCTAGTTTTAATTAATCAGTCAATAAAATTTATTATACCATTATTTTAGAAAATATGGAGAAATGAAGACAAATGGTAATTCAGTTAAGTAGATTAGAAACTGGATAGATTGAAAGAATAATCATTAATAATTTGATATCAACATGATGGGAAATCTCTAGTGAAATGTCCCAGGGATATATGCATAGTGCCATGATAGTAAATATTTTTATAATTGATTTGTACAAAGACACAGGTAGCTTATCAAATTGGAGGATTACGCAAAGCTGGGAAGAATAGTTAAATAGTAGATAATAGAATATAAACTGGAAAAAAGATATTGAAAGGCTAATATTTAGGACTGAATCAAATATTTGTAATATTGGAATTTAATAGGGATAAATATCAAGATGTACACTTTAGATAAATAATTTTTTATAAATTCAAAATTCAGAAGGTTGGATTAGATAGTAGTTTCAAAAAAAAAAAAAGCCTAAACTAAAGGCCATTGTGTGTTGAAATTACAAGAAGATTCAATAATGCGATCTTATCTACATTAGGAAAAGCATGAGAAAGGAAGGGGATTATTTAGCTATACAACTGCTTCAGATATATATGGGGTATGGTATTCAATATATATCCTAATTTTTAAGAAGGATATTGAATGAAGGAGGAAAAGGAGTGGAAGAAAGAAAGAGTCAAGAGGGAGGACACACACCTCAACAGTGACAGCAATGAGGCTGAAGTGAGCCCAGCAAGAAGAGGGGAAAGAAAGTTCATAGATGAGCCTTTCCCTCCTCTGATTCAGAACCAGAGCTAGAGAAGGAGGTGAAGAACCAAAATCTCAATCCTTAGAGCCGTTGAAGAAACCAGACCAGAAGGAGAAAAGAAGCCTTTCAGAAGAGAAGTCCCAAGCCAACCCTATGAAA